AGCTGCTAGTATTGGAGGTACTACAAGATGTACTAGAGGTACTACTGGTGCTGGAGGTACTGGAGCTGCTAGGCCTGGAGGTACTGGAGGTGCTACTGGTGCTGGAGGTGCTTCTGGTGCTGGAGGTACTGGAGCTGCTGCTGGTGCTGGAGGTATTGGAACTAGAGGTACTGAAGCTGCTAGTGCTGGAGGTACTTCTGGTACTGGAGGTGCTGAGGGTCCTAGAGCTGCTGGCACTGGAGGTGCTGGTACTACTGGTGCTGGAGCTGCGGGAGTTGCTGGTCCTGGAGGTGCTCGTACTAGAGGTACTGGAGCTGCCAGAGCTGGTGGTGTTGCTCGTGCTGCAGGTGCTACTAGAACTGCTGACCCTGGAGGTGCTGGTGCTGCTCGTGCTGAAGGCGCTGGAGCTGGAGGTGCTGGAGCTGCTGGTCCTGGAGGTGCTCGTACTAGAGGTGCTGGAGCTTCTGGAGCAGGTGGTACTGCTGGTGCTAGAGGTGCTGGAGGTGCTACTAGAGCTACTGGCACTGGAGGTGCTGGAGGTACTGCTAGTGCTGGAGGCGCTGGAGCTGGAGCTGGAGGTACTGGAGGTGCTGGAGCTGCTGGTCATGGAGGTACTCGTACTGGAGATGCTACTGGAGGTGCTGGCACTGGAGGTGTTGGAGGCACTGCTGGTGCTAGAGGTGCTGGCGCTGCCGGAGCTAGTGGTGCTGGAGGTGCTGGTGCTACTAGTGCTGGAGGTGTTGCTAAGAGTACTGGTGGAGCTGCTCGTGCTGGAGGTACGGGGGCTGCTGGTGCTCTTCGCCACCTTCTTGGTCTTCCGCCAGGTGCTACTGACTTCCCTGCGGCAGGTACTACTCCTTCGTTACTGTTTCCACTGGCACACCAGTCTCAGCCGCCGCTGCTACCGCACTCCCCGCTTCCTACTCCTGCTCCTTACACTGCGGTGACACAGTTCCTGTCTAAGCGTCGAGAGCCTGAGACTCATGCTTCTACCCCTGAGCGTCGAGAGCCTGAGTCTAGCTTTGACCTTGAGCCCGAGCCTAGAGCTGCTGTCCATACTCGTGTTCCTCGTATTCGTCGTTAGCGTGCTCCGGCTATCCAAGGCACTCACGATATGACACCCCGTCCTTCCTGTTCCACAGCGTGTTATCCTGCCGTTACCTCCTGCGTCCTCTCTTCCTAACGTTGCTGACCCTCCGTCTGACCTTGCTCGTGCATCCAGTCTGACTATTACTCGCTTTTTTGCTACGGTGGTGACTGACCCTTCGTTCTCGTCTCCTGCTGCATCTGCCTTAGTCGCTCAGCTCGCTGACTTTGCTGCTGTGTACCGCCTCGACTACCTTGTGAGTCTTGTTTCTGACCCTGTCCTTGCCTGTCCTCCGTACGTCGAGGGTGAGACTGCCCTTGGCTATGACGTTCTTGAGGACAGGCAGGAGGAGCTGGAGTGCCTTGCGGTCGTTGCACCCCATCTTGCGACCATGCTACTTGCCCCTGAGGGAGACCCGGATGCACTTGACATCCCCACCCCGCGCTCTTACAGAGAGGCGATTTCGGGTGAGTACTCCTCTCGGTGGCAGACAGCCATGGACGTAGAGATGGCTTCTTGGAAGTCCACAGGCACCTACGTCGACGAGGTTCCCCCACTTGGGGCGAACATTGTCAGTGGCATGTGGATTTTCAGAGTGAAGCGGCCGCCAGGTTCTACGCCTGCCTTCAAGGCACGTTACGTTGCTCGAGGCTTCAGTCACCGTGCAAGGGCCGACTTCTTTTAGACCTTCTCCCCTACCCCGAAAATGACCACTCTTTGGGTGTTGCTACACGTTGCAGCACAGCGTGACTACGAGCTGCACTCCCTCGACTTCTCGACAGCTTTCTTGCAGGATAGCCTTCACGAGGCCATCTGGTTGCGCCGTCCAAAGGGCTTCACTGGGTCGTTTCCTGAGGGTACCCAGTGGAGCCTACGGCGACCAGTGTATGACTTGCGTCAGGCGCCCTGCGAGTGGCACGACACACTGAGGACGACACTTGCGGCTCTTGGGTTTGCTCCTTCAACTGCTGACCCGTCGCTGTATCTACGCACCGACACTACTCTGCCGGTGTTCTACATCCTTGTGTACGTCAACGTCTTGGTTATTGCTACTGCTGACACTGAGGCACTGGCCCTAGTGAAGGCGGAGCTGCAGGAGAGACACACCTGTACTGATCTGGGCGAGCTGCGGAGCTATCTTGGTTTGCAGATCACCTGGGACAGAGCACGGCGCACCATCACCCTCACTCAGTCACACATGGTGCACCAGGTCCTTCAGCGCTTCGGCTTCACGTGGTCCTCGCCACAGCCCACTCCTCTGTCTACCGGCCACTCGCTCTCAGCTCCACATTCGAACGAGTTCGTAGAGCCAAGTGGTCCGTACCCAGAGCTTGTGGGCTGCCTCATGTACCTGATGACGTGCACACGACCTGACTCCGCGTACCCTCTCAGCCTCCTGGCTCGCTACGTGGCACCCGGTAGACACCGAAAGGTGCATTTTGATGTTGCGAAGAGGGTACTCGTTACATGTGCAGTACATCGGGCCGGGGGCTCGTGCTTGGAGGACGGGTTTCAGTGGTACTCACAGGACACTCTGACGCTTTTACAGCCGACGACCAGGCGACTCAGCATTCGTCACAGGGTTATACCTTCAGTCTTGGCTCTGGTTCTGTCTCGTGGAGGTCCACTCGTTCTTCTTCTGTGCTTGGTTCTAGCTGTGAGGCCGAGATCTACGCTGGGGCCATGGCTGCACAGGAGCTTCGCTGGCTGACCTACCTGCTGACCGACTTGGGGGAGCGGCCTTGTTCTCCTCCAGTTCTGTATGTCGACAACAAGGCAATGCTTGCCTTGTGTCGCGAGCAGAGACTGGAGCACAGAACGAAGCACATTGCTCTTTGCTACTTCCTTGCACGTGAGTTGCAACAGCGTGGTCAGCTGCGCCTTGATTACGTGGCCTCTCGGGCCAACACTGCTGATGTTTTCACCAAGGCCCCTGGGTCTGGTGATTACCGTATGGCCCCGGATAGAAGCGCAGGCCTATTAAAGGCGCATGCGCTTGTATCTGGAGCAATGCGCTTATGGCCGATCCTCAATTATAAGCGCACCCCCTGTAAAACCTTGATTTATTATAAGCGCATGTAAATTTTTTATTTTAAATCATGATTAAAACGGTAACGATTCCCTATTTTGCAGCGAGTCCACCCACATCCATTTCTACCGTACTTCGGTTGACTCTCTTGAGCACGGGCGACTCGATCAGGAAAGGCGGAACCTTGCGAAGCCGTTGACTGACAGCCCTTTCGGGGCGAAGGGGGGGGGGGGGGGGGGGGGGGGGGGGGGTGGGTGGAAAAAGGGACCGTGCCTGTGCGCTGCGAGCGAGCGACTGCACGCGAGTGGCTCATATGCTCGCCTGGGGCGAAGCTGACTGACAGCACAGCCGTGGGTGCTGTGCACTGAGCGAGCGACTGTGATTGGCTCATACACTGGGCCGGGGCAAGCTTGACGTGTCCTTGCCCCTGTGCGCCGGCAGAAAATCGCCCTCGCGCGATTCTGATGCCCATTTCAATTTGATTGAAAATGCAACTGTACTGGGATGCACAATTTGGTGCTTTAAATCATAATTATGTATTTGCCATTATATAAGCGCATGCGCTTATAAATTTGACTCAATTATAAGCGCACCCCCCCAAACAACACTGTTTTATTATAAGCGCAGGTGCGCTTATATCCGGGGTAATACGGTATCAGCGTTTCTGCACTGCTCTTGGACTTGTGCCCATTTTGCCTCACGTGTTGGTTCCTTGACTTGCTCTTGTTGTACACTAATATATATATCTTTATACCTGCTTGTTTACTCTTGCTAGGTTGTGATAAGTGTACTGCCTTGCTATTATAACTCTGCATGTGAATTGGCCTTGTGACTGCTTGCTTGTGCTCAGATTGTGTGGTGTCCTTGAGATCCACCCTGAGCTTTGCTTTGCTTTGTTCTTTTGCTTGACTGGTCTTGTGACCGTTCGTTGTGTTTGCTATCCCCCACTTTGCCTATGGGGGTGTGTCAAAATCCATTTGTATGCTTCTAGGTTGTATGGGGCATACTCTAGCGAGTACAGCCCTTTAGGGTTTCATACTTGTACTCATCCTGCTGCTCAATACAATCATTCCTGCCTGCATATTTTAACACCTGTGACCGTTGTTGTTCTTGCTATCCTCCACTTTGCCTATGAGGGTGTGTCGAAACTCTATATTTATAATTTGCTAGGCTATATTGGGGCTAGCCTTAGGGTGTACAACATTCCTAAGGTTTCATACCTGTACACCTGTTCCCTGTTCAAACTCCTTCCTGTTCAGTAGATCAATGTGGAAAGAGAGGAGAGTAGGGATCACGTGGAAAGGGAGTTAAGTGGGAAGCACAGAGAAAGAGTTTAACGTGGTAGCACATGCGAGGGAGGTAAGAAGAACGTGCGTTGAAGCCGAGGATGCTTATTACGGTACATCAGAGTCCTTTCCTCACTCCGTCGGCCCCGCCCCTTGTTCAGACCCTGTTGCAAGTGCACGAGAAGCGGAGGGATGGGTAAGTGACCAGTGAGTCAAGTGGAGTAAAGGGATGGGCAGGCAGACCAGGGGAAACATGCATAGCAGGCAAGAGAAGTCAGGAAGTTGTTCATTATGGGGCAAGATCTGGTGCTGCATGTTTTTCAGCATTTGAAAATATTCGGTCTTTAGATAAGATGAAGTAACAGAACATCCAACAACATTGCCAAATCGCACAAAGACACACATCCACCAGCCCACAAGCAAGAAACCTAAGAAAACAACCTCAACCACTCAGAAAAAGCCTACCTTTCAGTACCATCAGCTGCACTTCCACTCCCCTCCAATCTTCCATTCTAGCTTCTTATTCCCATCGACGGTAACTGTGGCGTTCCTAGCAATGGAGTGGGAAGTGCACACGCCATGCACCTCGTGAAAGAGCCTAGGCCTTGGCATCCTTGGCATCGGAGGGGCCTGCCTTGCGGGGGCTGTTGTCGGGCTTCTTGTTCTTGCCAGTGATGCGATCACGAATGTTCCTGAAGAAGCTCTTGATCGCATTCGCCGTCCTCTTCAGCACCCCCGGCTTCTTCTCCTCCTTCTTCTTCTTCTCCTCCTTCTTCTCCTCCTTCTTCTCCCCCTTCTCCTCGCTCTTCTTCTCCTCCTTCTTCTTCTCCCCCTTCTCCTCGCCCTTCTTCTCGTCCTCGTCAGCCAGCTTACGTGGAAACTCAATCCCTTCCTCCTCATCCCCCTCTTCATCCTCAACCGCCTCCTCCTCGTCACTCTCCATCCCCTCCTCCTCCTCCTGAAGCTCCCTGGGCATCTCAAGTCCGTCAGCCTCATCACCCCCCTCGTCCGCATCACCATCCATTCCACCTGCTTCCTCCTCGCTCTCGCTGTCCTCCACAAGAGCTCTCCCCTCCTCCTCCGCCTCCTCCGCCTCCTCCGCCTCTGCAAGCATCCTTCCCTCCTCGCCCTCCTCGCTTTCCTCGCTCTCCTCCTCCTCTCCCACCTCGCTCGCCTCGCTTTCCTCCTCCCAGTCGCCCTCAGCCAGCATGCGCCCCTCTTCCTCCTCCTCCCCTTCCCCCTCACCCTCTGCCATCTCTCCCTCCATCTCTTCCGCCGCGCTTTCCTCCTCCGCGCCCTCCTCCGCCAGGCTCCTGCCCTCCGCGCGCTCCTCGACGTCCGCCTCCCCCTGCGCCTCCTCATCCCCCCAGCCGCCGTCCCCCAGCGCCCACCCGTCCGCTATCTCCTCCCCCTCGTCGCCCTCGCCCTCTTCGAGCGCCATGCGCGGCCCGCCGGTCACAAGGCCGGTCGCGTCGCTGCCGGTGGTCCACGCCGCGGGAGACGGGTCGCTGCCCATGGGATCATCGCTGCCGCCACTCCACGAGCCCGCAGCGCTCACCATCACCGACGCGGCCGGCGCGGCGAGCAGCGGCAGCAGGGTGGCGAGGAAGAGCAGCAGCAGCGGCGAGGGCGCGCGCGCGCCACGTGGGCGGGCCATGGTGGCGGCGGGATGGCGAAATCGAGGAGCTGGTGCGACGCACGCTGGGGGCGACGGTTGCGCGCAGCTGGGAGCGCGTGGTGAGCTGAATGGATGCGGCTGGACGCTTCAAGTCACAAATCTCGATGAGCTTCTTCTCTCCTAATCTGGAGCTGCTCCTGGTGTGCGTGGTGGAGGAAAGCGAAAGATGATGCTTTTCTCAAGGCGGAACCACCTCCCTTTATGCGCACCACGATGACCGAGCGTGCCACGCCATGGACGCCGTGACGTTGCTTGCCGTGGCTCTGCCCGCCAGTTGCGGCGAGAGCGACGGTGAAGTCGCGCGGCGGCAGCGGTGTGCTTTGCCGCGATCATTGTTGGGTCGACGAGTGAGCTTCGCAGCGAAATGCCGCGCACACCCAGTCCCTTGTGACACCTCGACTGCTGAAGCCTGTCGCGTCGCTGGCGTACGTGCGTCGGTGGGAGTATGAAAATGATGGATCAAGGGAGAGAGGAGGGCGGGGCGCGCAATTATGCGTTAACTGCGCCAAAGGTATGGCTCCTACTATTTCGCAGAAAGGCTATGCGTTGAAAGGGTGGAAATTATTATCGCGGAAACGCAAGTAATGCGTCCCCGTCAAAAGCAAATCAGATACTACTTAGAAAATCTGAACACTATGTTAATTTATTTTAACCTAATATGCTGTAGTGTTCCGGCAAAGTTGCTTTTACCAAACTTACCTTGGATGTTTGCGTGCGTTTGTGTGTTTCACAACTCTGAATAGTCTATAGCCTTCTGTTAAGTTAACCAGCTACCCTTATTTTACGAAATAGCCTCTGTTACGAATAGCAAAAGATGAAGTATTATTGTGCACTCCTAACCGCAGCAATCGAAGCACGCAATACCGAGGCTGAAGACGAAAAGGCAGAAGTGAGACGAAGGGACGTACGGTTACGAAGCATTTGGACCGTCAGGGTAGACAGCATCAGGCAGCATCAGTGGCGAGGATTCTGCCCAGGCAGTTCGCAACTGTCTGGAGTCGCGCGGTTAAGCTTCGCTGCAATAAGGGAATATACCCTTTAGAGTACATGGCTAGTCAGGTCGTTTCTTATTCCATCATGTACTCTTATTTATACATTTGCATTTGCATGTTTTAATCATCTCAAGCATTTTAAATTCACTCTGCTTTGAGATCAAGGGCCCACCACTGCCAATCAGTTGTGTGCGAACCTTCTCGAGGTGATCCTAGGGACGATCAACTTTTGATTGCAGCATGGTATGAGAGCGTCTCGTGTCAGAAACAGTAACAGAAAGTTAGAAACCGAAAAGGAGGGGCTGCACTAGCAGGCAGTTGAGTACATATAGGAAACCCTAATATGGGGTATACTCGCTATAGAGTACCCCACTGCAGGCTAGACAAATATCACATTCTGACACACCCCCATAGTCAAAGTGGGGTGTAATCAGCACAGCAAGCAGTCATAGAGCAGGTTCACAAGTACAAGCAAAGCTAGAGGCATTCACAAAGGGCAAGTGAGGAGGAGGAGGTGGGACTGTGAGAGGAGAGGAGATAGGAGGCGACGGATGAAGCTGCAGACACATGGGCAACAGGAGCGGCTGGCACAGCGGCTACCGGAGCAGCGCCCCGGACTAGTAGAGTAACTGGCTCCGCGGCTAAGACGAGCGGCAGGAGCAACGGATCCACGGGCGACTGGCGCAGCAGGCTCGCTGGGCTACCGGAGCAGAGCCCCGGACTACTGGCGCTGCTGACGACACGACGGCTGCCTTCGCTCAGCCTCCCCCAACTGTCCCACCCCCCTTTCACACACCCCCTGCTGCACCCCTAGCTCCAATCCCATGTCACCCCCTAGCGTGACTTCCTCGGCTCCCACACACCCACCCCCCTCATCGGCAGCTGCAGCAGTGGGAGACGGAGGAGGAGGAGGAGCAGGGGAGGGCTCACACACCCGCCACCCCGCATACCCGCCACCCCATACCCCAAACACAGGCCGCGCGCGAGTCCCTGGGGCGCTGCGACGGGCGACGGGCAGGGCGGCGCGCAGGCCCCCAGGGCGCCACGATAGGCGACGGAGGGGGGGGGGGGGGAGGGGGGGGCGACGTGCCGGCCCCCAGGGCGCCGCGGCGGGAGACGGGCAGGGCAGCGCGCGGGCCCCTTGGGCGCTCCGACGGGCGACGGGAGGGGAGCGGCGACGCGCGGGCCCCCAGGGCCCTTCGACGGGCGACGGAAGGGGAGGCGGCGCGCGAGCCCCCGGGACGCCGCGGCGGGCGACGGGAGGGGACAGCGCGCGGGCCCCCGGGGCGCCGCATCGAGCGACGGGAGGGGACAGCGCGCGGGCTTTCGGGGCGCCGCGTCGGGCGACGAAACTGCCGCGCACGCCTGGGGCGCGTGGCGGGCAGGAAACCGCCACACGCCCCGAGCGCGTGGCGGGCAGAAAACCGCCGTGCGCACGCCACGCGCGTAAGGCGCGCGGCAGTTAGAAGACGTCCCACACGCGAGGCGCGCGACAGGTAGTACAGCACCCGAAGTAAGTAGGCCCATAGGCCAGGAGCGATCTCGCTCTAATAGCATGTCAGAAACAATAACAGAAAGTTAGAAACAGAAAGGAGGGGTTGCACTAGCAGGCATTTGAGTACATATAAGAAACCCTAACTTGGGCTATACTCGCTATAGAGTACCCCACTGCAGGCTAGACAAATATCCCATTCTGGAATCCTCGGCGAATGGAAAGCGGCGTCCGGCACACGCTCGCGTGTGAGAATGGCAGGAGGATATGGTGATCGTACGAATCTGACGGCTGAAGCGCAGCTCAACCCAACTGCGGCAAGCGAGGAAACGACGACGATTGGAACCGCCGTCCTCGCACAAATGCTTCAGCGACTCACCAGCTTGGAGCAAGGACTCCAAACATTGCGGAATGGCGACGCGGAAACTTCTTCCCAACCCCCTCAACCGGCCTCGAACGACCTCAATACCGCCCCTCACACCATCTCCGTCGACACTAATGGCTCAACTCCTAAAACTCCCCATCCCAGCGAAGAAGCAATTCTCTCTGCGCAATCAAGGTTTTTGAGCATATAAAAAATGAAGACAAGTGCATGTTTTGATGGCAGAGACTTCTATACGTGGAGCTTCGAGATGGAGCTGCTGCTGCAAAACTAGAAGATATTCCACTATTTCGACGGGAGCTACTCGAGACCCGCTGAGGATACCGCTGACGCCCGGGCAAAGTACTACCACGAGTCCTTAATGTCGTACAGCATCCTCCTGCGGAACATGTCGCCGGCGGAGCAGTTGAGCATTCGATCGTACAAGACTTCACATGCTCCAGCCCTCGACTCTTGGCGCCATCAGAACGGCATGTACCAGCTGAAAGATTCGGTTTCATTGAGCCACCTACTCCAGCAGCTACAAGAGACAAAAATGGCCCCAAAGGAGAAGGCCAACGGCTACATTATGTCAGAGGTCCACTGGTGATCCCCGATTGATCCTAGGGAAGGGTTACAAGCATGTTGGACAAGGGGGTTGTGAGCGCACTTACCCGCTACACAAACAAGCCCTTTTATCCCAATGGTCTAGTGGTTGGGATTCTGACATGGTATCAGAGCAAAGGTCTCGAGTTCATATCCCGGTATGTGCACTTCGAGCATCCCAGTGTGGGGGGGTGTCAGAGGTCCATTGGTGATCCCCGATTGATCCTAGGGAAGGGTTACAGGCTCGTTGTCCTCGGGGGTTATGGGCGCACTGACCCGCTACTTAACAAACCTTTTTATCCCAATGGTCTAGTGGTTGGGATTCTGACACATTAAACGCTGGCGGAGCTTACGCGATCAAATCGCGAAGTTGGGAAGCAACATTTCCGAATATTTTTTCGTGAATATTGTGCTTCAAGGGCTGATTGGCGACCCTGCAAGGCGCTGCTCCGACAACAGGGGGCCATCTCAGAGGCAGCCCTATGCGCCGCCCTTCTCGTTGAACGAAGGGATATGGACCAGCAACAACCAACGCCGCGACAAGACCGGGAACGCCTCGCCTTCTACGCCAACAACACATAAGAGTGATAGCCGCGGCGCCTTTACTGCAAGATTTGTAGAAACTTCAGGGCACCTGGTGTGAAGAAACTGAGGCAATGGAAGGAGCCATAGCTGGGAATGACCTAGCTAGGCAAGAAACAAGTTAGGCAAAAGAGAGGGTTTGCACTAGCAAGCAAGGGGATACATATACGAAACCCTAAGGGGTTATACTCGCTATAGAGTACCCCACTGCAGGCTAGAGAACATAAGATAATATTCTGACACACCCCCATAGCCAAAGTGGGGTATAATCAGTAGAGCAAGCAAAGCAGTACAAGCTCAGGGTGGATCACAATGTCACCACACATTCTGAGCACAAGTTCAAGAAGCAATAGTTTAAAGTTCACAATTATAAGCAAAGCTAGTGGTAGTCACAACGGGCAAGCGAGGAGGAGGAGAGAGAGTGAGGGGAGAGGAGATAGGAGGCGACGGCTGACGCTGCAGTCACACGGGCAACAGGAGGCGGACTGGCACAGCGGCTACCGGACTAAGCGCCCGGACTACAGGAGTAACAGGCCCCGCGGCTAAAGTAGCGGCAGACGAGCAACGGACCCACGGGCGGCTGGCGTAGAAGTCTAGCTCGCTGGGCTACCGGGACAGCGCCCCGGACTACAGGTGCTGCGGACAACAAGCTGGCAGCCTCCACTCAACCTTCCCCAAACTGTCCTACTCCCCCTGGCACACACCCACTGCTACACCGCTAGCTCTCCTCCCCCTTCACCCCCCTTAGTATCACTCCACCGGCTCCACCACAATCACCCCCCCCCCCTCAGCGGTAGCTGCAGCATGAGGAGACGGAGGAGGAGGAGGAGCAGGGAGCGGAGCTTAGTAAGGGCACCCCCATACCCCTCACCCCCAAACCCTAAAGTAGGAGAATGGGGAGTAGGAGGGGTAGGGCGGTAGTAGAGGGACTGGGACCAGTGGGGAGGGCAGGGAAGGTAGGAAACGGGCCCACCACGGGCCTGGTAGGGACGCCTGAGCCGCGCACATGCGGCCTGAGCCACGCGCGGGTCGGGCGTCTCCCGTACGGGCCGCGCGACGGCCTGGCGCAGCCCGTACGGACCGCGCGCGGGCCTGGCGCAGCCCGTACGGGCAGCGCGCGAGCCTGGCGCAGCCCGTACGGGCAGCGCGTGGGTCTGGTGCAGCCCGTACGGGCCGCGCGCTGCCTGTACGGGCCGCACAGA